TAGTATAAGCCATAGTAGTTTTGCTGCTCTAAAAGTTCTTTTTGTTCCTCCCATTCATTCTCCCCTCCCCTCTAATCCTTGGAAGCCACTGACCATAAACATAGTTTTGCCTTTTCCCAAATGTTATAGTTGTCATCATGCAGTATGTACCTTTTTCATACTGGCTTCTTTACTTCATATCATGAATTTAAGTTTCTTCCATGTTTTTTCATGGCTCAATTCCTCATTTCTCTTCAGTGCTAGTAATATTCTACTTCCAGATGCACTGTAGTTTATCCATTGACATACTGAAAGACATCTTGGTAGCTTTTAAGTGCTGGAAACTATGACTAAAACTTCTATAAACATCCATGTGCAGGTTTCTGTGGATGTAAGTTTAGGTAAATTGCAAGGAGCATGATTGCTGGATCATATGTTGAGTGTGTCTTATTTTTAAGAAAATGTCCACTGTTTTCCAAAGTAGCTGTACCAGTCATTTTTTACTCCGACACACAATGAATGACAGTTCCTGTTTTTCCTCATCCTCACCAGTAATTGGTATTAGATTTGGTCATTCTAATAGGTGTGTGGTAATGTCTCATTGTTTTTATTTGCATCTGATGACATATGTCCCGGGACATCTTTTCATATGCTTATTTGTTATCTCTAATATTTTTTTGGTGAGGGGTCTGTTAAGATATTTGGACAATTTTTAAAATGAATTGTGTTTTATTGTTAAATTTTAAGAGTTGTTTTTTATATTTTGTGTAAATAACAGTCCTTTATAGGATATGTCTATTGCAAATATTTCTTCCAGTCTGTGGATTCTTTTTTGTCCCTTAACAGTATTTTTATAAATGATGCCCAGAATATCAATTTTTTCTTACATGGATTGTACCTTTGGTGGTGTATATAAAAAGTTATCACCAAATCTGAGGTGTTCTTGACTTTCTCTTATCATTTAGCAGTTTTGTACTTTTGTGTTTTGCATCTTGGTTTGTGATCCATTTTAAGTTAATTTTTGTGAGGGGTACAGCATCTGAGACTGGATTTTTTTTTTAATGTGGAAGTCTAATTGTTCCAGCACATTTTGTAGAAAAGACAGTCTTCTCCATTGTATAGACCTTGCTCCTTTGACACAGTTGATGATACTTATTTGGGTATATTTCTATGGTCTCTATTCTGTTCCATTAATCTAGTAGTCTACTCTTTCACAAATACCACACTGTATTGATTACCGTAGTTTATCATAAGTCTTGGAATTGTGTAGTGTTAGTCTGCCAGCTTTGTTCGTCTCCTTCAATATGGTTTTTATGTTATTTTAAATATGATTAAGTTTTTAAAAGATTTTCTATATCCATTATGTGTTGGAGAACCTTTTAACTATTTTAAATAATAAATTTGATAATACAACAGTACTGTTTACAGTTGTGTTATTAAATTTATTATTTAAATAATATTTTAAAAAATAATATTAAAATATTATTTTAAATAGTTTACCTAGAGATTTTTGTATTTGTATGTGCATAAATATTATTTACAATGAAATTTCTTCCCTTCCAATCACTATGCCTTTTTTACTTTCTTTTATGTTAATATTCTTGTACTGTTTGGAATAGCTAGCACAATATTAAATAGAAGAGGTAATAGTAGGTATTCATGTTCTATTCTCAGAAATAACAAAAAAAACTTCAGTATTGTGTTCACTTTAGGTCTTTGTACACATCTTTGATCATATTAAAGCAGGTCTATTTTATTTCTAGCTTACTATTTTTTAATCTTGAAGGGTTGTTGGATTTATCAAATTATATTTCTCCTATTGAGATGATCATATGATTTTTCTCCTTCCTTTGGTTAATGAGACAATGATACTTTTAAATATTGAACCAACCATAAATTATTAGTTTTGGAAAAGACAATCACTTTTCTGCAATCTTTTGACCCCCCCCCATTCAGTTAATAAAAATGAGTCTTGACAGTAGAATGAATCAGACATTACTTTATCCCATGTTCATATATGAATACATGACCAGTGTAACTCCATATCATGTACAACCACAAGAATAGGAAGTTACATTCCATGCTTTAGAATGTTTCAAAATAAATTCTCTTGTTATACATAATTAAAAGAACAAATAATTTTAAAAATATGGATCTTGAGGAGAAAGTATTTCCTTACTTAGAGATTAAGTGACCACATGGCCTGTGTCAAGTTTATTGCCTGGTATGGCAATGTTTCCTTGTCTCATACTCAATGAATGTTCCTTTGTTCTGCTAAATATATGTATCAATGGTCTTCAGGCATGCCTCCAGCTTTCAGTATGGTCATTCAGACTCCTGGGTTGTCCTTCTTCCTCTGAGGCACAAAAGTATGTACTTAACCAACTATCCCATTTAAGCTGGGGAGGATATGCTAGCCATGGGGGGAACAAACACACATTGAAGCTGATCTTTGTTTCTTCTATGCTTGACTGCATTGAATTTTCCTTGTTGACTTCAAAATAAAGATAAAGTGGGCATAAATTATTAGAGTCCTCCCCTGGGATTAGTAACTGGTGCTCAGTGCTCGGCTTAACATTTAGAATAACTAAACTTGCTCAGAAAGAATTACCCTTCACACATTACTGAATTTGGTTTGATAGTGTTTTGTTTAGCAACTTTGCTTCTGTTTTTCAAGAGTACCACTGTCCTGGATTCCTTTTCTTGTAATATATTCATTAAACTTTAGAATTAATACTAAGCTGATTTTGAAGTGATTGGGAACTATCTCTCTTCTATTACCTGAAAGAAAATGGGCAAAATTGTTATTATTTATTCCATAAACATTTTGTAGAATTTTTCAAAGAAATAATCTGGGTCTATGGTTTACTTCATGGGAAGGTACACATGTCATTACACATATAACTTATAATTTTTCTCAATTCTGTTAGTTGTATACATATTTAAAGCTGCAAGATATTATCATTGTTTTACAAAGTCATTCTTCACTTCAGATTTATTGAAATATTTATAATTTTGTTGGCTCTTCAGTACTTGCTGCATCTCAGCTTTCATTTATAATCTTTATTTTCCATGAAATGCTTCCTTTAGTATTTCAATTCGTGTGGGACTTATAGTGAAAAATTCTGTGTTGTTTATCTGAAAATGTCTTTTCTTTTTTTTAAATATTTTATTAGTTGTTGATGGGTCTTCATTTATTTATATGTTGTGTTGAGAATCGAACTCAGTTCCTCACACATCCTAGGCAAGCACTCTACTACGGAGCCCTAGCCCCAGCCCTGAAAATGACTTAATTGTTTGAAAAAATATTTTTAATTGTAGATGGATGCAATACCTTTACTTATTTATTTTTAAGTGGTACTGAGGATCAAACTCAGTGCCTCACATACACTAGGCAATTGCTCTACCACTGAACTAAAACTTCAGCATCTCTTTATTTCATATTAATATATAAGGGACTTTTGTGTTGGCTTTAGACTCTATGTTGATTAACTGTCTCTTTCAGCACATTGACATTAGCTTTCTATGGTCTCTATCTCCTTTTTTCTAATTAGTAAGCAGTAATACTATTTGTTCTCCTCTGATGGTAATATGTATATTTGGGCTGGTTTAGTTTTATTGTTTTCTATACTGTACTGGAGATTGTACCTAGGGGCACTGTACCACTGAGATAAATCCTCATCACTTTTTAATTTTTTAAATTTGAAATGAGGTCTTCCTAAGTTGCTGATGATGGCCTCAAATTTGTGTTCTTCCTATCTCAATCTCTCAAACTGCTGGAATTACAGGCATAAGCCACCTAGCCCAACCGTATCTTAGCTGTTTTTTAACTATTTTCATTCACATCTTTTCTCCTTTAAATAAGATGTTTAAAGGAGACTATTCTATATTTAATGTTACACAGTAAACTCAACAACATTTTTCTAATATAAATATCAAAATTAGCCAAGAACTGTGATATCTGCATGACTCATGTATTTTGAAGGGCATGGTCCTTTGAAATGAATGGACAATTATAAAAGGCAACATGTAATTTACACAAAATATACACATGTAGATCAAACCTGTAATTATTATTATAATTTTTTTGGTATCATGGATTAGACCCAGAGGTGCTTAACCCCTGGGCTACATCCCCAGCCTTTTTTATACTATTTTTAGTTTGAGACTGGGTCTAACTAGGTCCTTAGGGCCTCTCTAAGTTGCTGAGGTTGGCTTTGAACTTCTGATCCTTCTGTCTCAGCATCCTGAGCCTCTGGGATTATAGTTGTGTACCACATCCCTGCCAATAATTATTTTATACTATATAAAATCTATAAGATAAAATAATATTAGGATAGTAGGAAATTAACTTCTTTTTTAAAAAACTTTTTTTCCTTTAAGTTTTTTCTTTTTTAATTTGTTCTTTATAGTTTATACATGACAGTAGAGTCTATTTTGATATATTTTACAAACATGGAATACATCTTATTTGAATTGGAATCCCAGTCCTGTGGATGTACCCAATATTGAGATTCACTGTGGTGTATTTATATATATACATAAGAAAGTTATGTCACATTCATTGCACTGTCTTTCTTATTCTTTCCCTTCTCCCTTCCCTTAATTCCCCTTTGTCTAATCCACTGAATTTCTTTTTTTATTTGTTTTAATTAGTTACACATGACAGATAGTACAATGATCTTGACATATCATATATTTGAATCAGATTAATCCACTGAATTTCTGTTCCTCCTCTCCCTGCACCCTTGTTGTGTGTTAGCATCCACATATCAGAGAGAATAGTTGACCTTTAGTTTTTTGGGATTGGCTTATATCACTTAGCATGATAATCTCTCAAATTTCATATTAATATATAAGGGATTTATGTAAGGGATAATCTATAAGGGATAATCTCATGAGATTATCATGCTAAGTGAAATAAATAAGATTATTTTGGATTGAGTGGCCGAATCGAGATGTAACTACTGTACTCACAATGAGACTTCAAATGATGTTATCTTATTTCAATAATAAATTACCTTTGCCTTTGAAGCAATCCTACATCATCTTAAAAGTAACTCTGTGGTCTCTTTAAGTCTTGTTTCCCTTGTTTCTTCAGTATAGCTCTTTGGAGAAGTGATGCTATGATATTACTGAGGTAGAGTCATAAAAACAGTTTCTGTCTTGTGTGTTGGGCTCGGAGCTGAAATGTAAGAAGAAAAGATATCAGAGACTACTATGTCATAAGAAAGCCTAAGTGACATAGTAAGACTACATGTGAGCACTCCAGTCAACATTTACAGCTGAGCTTACTGTTTAAAACATCTCAGCACAGGCACCAGATACATGAATAAATGAGCCTACAGAAGGTTTCAACCTCCAGCTATTAGGCTTTGAAGGTTTTCCAGCTGAGGTCCTACTTACAGTAGAGACAAGTCAAATGGTTACTATTGTGCCCTGGCTGAATTACTGAATCACATAATCTGGAACATAATAATATTGTTATTTCATTCCACTAAGCTTTGGAATTGTTTGTACACAACAACAGTAAGAGGAATAATTGTTCTGCAGGTGTTACTATAACAAAGAAATTAAAATAAATAAAAGGTATGATGTTCAAAATGAAAAAAAAACAGAACTGCCATTTTTTGTGAGAAATGTAACTGTAAATAGAAAATACTAAAGAATATATAATAAATTATTAGTATTAACATGAGTTTAGAAAATCGCTGATACAAGGTCACTCTAAAAATTAATAATATTTGTATATTGAAGTTTTATATACTAACTTTAAAAAATACGAACTTTATTTATTTATTTATTTTTATGTGGTGCTTAGGATTTAACCCAGGGCCTCACATGTGCTAGGCAAGTGCTTTACCATTGAGCTACAACCTCAGCCCACATACTGACTTTTTTAAAGGAACTACAAAGAGTATGAACAGTCATGACACTTTATGAAACATAACAAAGTATTGGAATTTTCTGTAACAGATTTCAAGATATTTAAATTTGTGGTAATTACTATAGTGTGGCAATGGCAGAAAAGTAGATACATAGACAAATAGAACAGAGCAGAAGCCAGAAAGAGACTTATGCATGTATAATCACTTCATTTTGACAGAGAGGGTATTGCAAAGTAGTGAGAAATGGATTTTTCTTTCAATTACTAGTGCTAAAATAATGGAGTATCTACTTGGATAAAACAAAACAGAACTTGACCCATATTTCAAATCTTACACAGAAATCAATTGTAGATGGATTGCAGATCTCAAAATAAAAAGTACCACAATAAAACTTTTATGAAAGAATATAAATAAAATATCTTCATATCTTCAGAGTCTGGAAAGACATTTTAAACAATTCACAAAAGGAACTAATCATAATGGAAAAGATTTATATATTTAACTATTCTGAAATTAAGAACCACCATTCGTAAAATGATGTCATTAAAAAAGTACGAGGACCAACCTGAGGCTTGAAGAACTTACCTGAAGCACATAAATGAGAAAAGGCCTCTATTAGGAAAGTAGATGAAGAAAGACAACAAATAGAAAAATACACAAAGAGTTCTGAGACAATATTCTAAAAAAGAAAATATTCAAACAAAAATATGTATGTGTGTATATGAGTGAAAAGGTACACATTGCATGTACTAATATCTTGAAATATATCCTCAATGCTTTCTTTTAGTAGTTTCGGAACATCAGGCTTTACATTTAGGCTTTTGATCCATTTTAAGTTGATTTTTTTTGTGTTTGGAGAAAGATAGCAGTCATTTCAATCTTCTCCATATAGATATACAATTTTCTAGGCATCATTTATTGACTATTCATTCTCAAATGCATGTTTCCAGTCCTTTTGTTGAAAATTAATTGGCTAGGTCTAGGGATGTGGCTTAGTGGTAGAGCACTTGCCTAGCATGTGTAAAGTGTAAGGTCCTGAGTTCTATTCCCAGCACCAAAAAAAGAATAGAATAACTTGAATAAATTTAACATAGGAAGTACAAGGCACCATTGAAAAAAAAAAAAAAAAAAAAGAGAGAGAGACAGAAAGAAAGAAAAATAAAGAAATTGAAGGAATATCAGTTTGCTAAAGATACATGGGTATTTTTCTGGGATCTCTGCCCTATGTCATTTGGTCTATATGTCTGTTTATACTATAATACCATGCTATTTTAGTTACAATGTTTGTGATATTGGTACAGACCTGATTTTTTTATAAGACCGCCAAAAGCACAGAAAACAAAAGTTGACAAATGGGATTACATCAAACTAAAATATTAGCAGAATAAAGAGATAACCTATGGAATGGGAAAAAATATCTGTCAACTGATCATCCAACAGTGGGATAATATCCATAATATATAAATAACTCAAAAAAATTAATAACAATGATAAAGTAATCCAATTAAAAATGGGCAGATGGGGCTGGGGTTGTGGCTCAGTGGCACAGTGCTTGCCTAGAATGTGTGAGGCAATGGGTTCAATTCTCAGCACCACATATAAATAAATAAAATAAAGGTACATTGACAACTAAAATAATATTTTTTAAAAAGGCATATGACCTGGATAGATATTTCTCAAAAGAAGAAATGCAAGTGGACAACAAATATATGAAAAAAATCTCAATATAATTACCCATCAGGATAATTCAAATCACAATACTATCTTACTACAGTAAGAATGACTATTATTTTAAAAATTCTGATGAGGATTTGGAGAAAAAGGAACTCTTCTTTACTACTGATGGTAATATAAATCATTACTGCTATTAGAGAGAACAGTGTATATGGAGGGTCGTCAAAACTAAAGCTAGATCTAACTTATGATAAAGTTATTATGGTTTGGACTTGGAATATACCCCATAGGCTCATTTGTTGAAATGTTGGTCCCAAATGCAGTAATGTTCAAAGGTGGGGCTCTTAGGAAGTGATTGGATCATGAGGGTTCTGACCTCATCAATGGATTAATGGCATTATGGTGGTGGAAATTATAAAGGTGGGTGTCTAGTTGTGAGAAGTAGGTGACTGGGGGACATGCCTAGAAGTATATGTTCTATCCCAGGACTCTCCCTTCCTCTCAGTGATGAAGTGAGCAGCTTTCTTCCACCATTCCTTTCTGCCTCATTTCAGACCCCAGGCAATGGAACCAGCTGACCTGAACTGAAACCTCTGAAATCTTGAGCCAAAATAGATAAAATCTTACCTCATTTAGGTTGTTTTTATCATGCATTTTGTCACAGTGACAAAAATCTAATGAATATACCACTTATCCTACTTGTGTGTATATATGCAAAGAAATGAAATCAGCATACCAAAGATCTGTAGGCCCATGTTTTTTTTTTTTTTTTTTTTTTTTTGCTGCAGCTATTCACAATAGCTAGGATGTTAATCAGACTAGGTGCCCATTAATGGATGAATGGATAAAGAATGTGTGGTATTTTTCAACTATAAATAAGAATGGAATCCTGTCATTTGCAGCAAAATGTATGATACTACTGATCATTATAGTACCACATTTCCTTTCATATGTAGAAGCTAAAAAAGTCAATTTATAAGTAGAATGGGGATTAATGGAAATTGGAAAAGTTGTTGGGGGGAAGTTGTGAAAATGATGTTTGAATTTGATCAGTGTATGCTATATACATGTATTGGGATATCAAACTGAACACCATTAATATGCTCAACTAATACTTGCCAATACAACTTTTAAAATATATAATTAGGAGGATCATAAGTTCAAGACCAGCCTCAGCAATTTAGTGAGGCCCTACACAAGTTAGTGAGACTCTGTTGTGAAACAAACAAACAAACAAAATATGATTGAAGGAAAAAAGAAAATGTGCACAGCTTTTTAATGATTAGGGAAATATAAAATAAAATCACGAAGAAATACTATTCCACACCAAATGGGGTGCTAAAAGAGAAGCACGAGACTTAGAGAGAGAATCCCATACATGATAGGGACCACACCTTGTAGAAGAGAGAAAAGTAAAAACTGAAACATATTTAGAAGAAAGATCTCTAGATATAAACACATCTGAAAAATAGAGAAGCTGGAAATTTTAAATTGGAGCCCAGAAGTTTCCCACACAAATATAGAGATAAGTTATAACTAGGAATTATTAGTATCAAAAAGACATAAGGAAATAGATCTCAGCTTAACTTTAGGAAAACCTTTTCACATATTTAGATCTGATTTTAAAAAATGGAGCACAAATGCCTCAGAAATTGTGATTGAGTGTAACTGGAGTTGTTCTCAGGCATTAGCTTAAAAAAAATTTTTTTTTGGTTGTTGTTGATAGATTTTACTTATTTATATGCAGTGCTGAGAATCAAACCCAGTGCTCACACATGCCAGGCAAGTGTACTACCGCTAAGCCCCAGCCCTAGCCCCAGGTATTAACTTTTTAAAAAATATTTTTTAGTTGTAGATGGACATAACACCTTTATTTTACTTATTTATTTTTATGTGGTGCTAAGGATCGAAGCCAGTGCCTCACATGTGCTAGGTGAGCACTCTACCACTGAGCCACAACCCCAGCCTGGTATTTATCTTTGGATGCCCACTTGATGGTGTTATTATTGGTAGGGTTTTGTGGAAAATTAAATGGTTAGATGGAATGACCTTTTAGGTACCTTTTGGTTTATCATGTGTGCATGTGTGTGTATGTATTTGAGAAAGAGATCTCAAAACAAACCTTTGTTGGAAAGAAATAATACCCAAGAAATTTTCTTTCACCATAGCCCCATTTCATCTTTTCCTAACTAGAACTGAATTTACTCACTCTTTTTCTGTAATCAGTGATACCTAAAGAAAGAAAAGTGGGTCAAGGCCCTTACTCTAAGCACCAGAAGATTTTATAAATAGTCATTATTCCCTGAGATATTAGAACTTATCAGGGGTAACGTACGAAATGACATTTTATTCCTCTGTTGGTATTCTGTACAGAACTGTTAAAATTCCTGTCTTGCTTTGTCAAACACCAGCACATTTATTTTCCATGGGTGAATTGTACCCTCTAGTGGCCTTAACAATGAAAACAGAGCTTTGGATATGATCAGAACTCAGAACACCATACTTGTAAGATATCTTTTGGCACAGAGTCCTAAAGTTGCTTCTTTCTGATGCACTTTACCATATAGCAGGTAACAGAGACAGGGTGAGAACTCTTAAGCACGACTTTCTGGTATTTAGTTTACACTAGCTCCATCACAGATAATGCCTTTCTGTTGACCCTTGGGATGAACAAAAGGAAGGTTTCAAAATGCAGTATATTTTAAGTGTGTATAATTTAGATACCTATATGTTAATGTGTTTTGTGTTATATTCCTTATCTACAGTCTGTCAGAGAAAGAAGAAAGGTGGGAACCAGGGAATCATTGACTGACATTTTTGGTGGCTCATCCAACAATCAAGGCTCTGAAGAGGATCAAGATTCCAGGCATTCATGTTTGGAATTACCACTCCACAGTGTATAAACATAAGAAAATGCAAATATGCTCACAATCTTACTTAAACATAAATAGTAAGTTGTTAACATTTATTAACATTATTAACCTTTTTATAATTTCGTTTTTCAATTTAAAATTATTTGGACATACCAATTCACTTAAATAATGCTTAACAGTGATTTCTCTACAGCCATTATGGATACCTGGGAATACTGCTGATGTGGAAACAAAGTTTTAAAGTTTTAAATCTAAATTTTTTAAAAAATTAAATGAAATGTTTGTGAATACTAAATTTAGTATGAAGTTGACATGGTAATGTTTTGTAGATATTTCATTAAACATTTCTTAATTGTAATCTTGTAGTCTTTTTGTATTGTGAGATAAATACAATTTTTATTTTCTCATAAGTTTAAACAGAGAAATTTCTTGCCTAGCATGTGCAAGGTCCTGTATTCGATCCTCAGCACGACATACAAATAAATGAATAAATAAATAAATAAAAATATATTGTGTCCACATATAACTAGAAAATAAATATTTTTTCAAAAGTAAGTAATGATGGGTAGGTAAAGTGGACCACTGTTGCATATTGTGAACATCTAGGATAGACATATTGGTAAAGTTCCTTTGAACAAACTGCATTCCAAGTCTATTAACAAGGACCATCAAACTTTATTTAGAAATCAATTTATTGGGGACTATTCACTTAGATTAATACATCTTTATTTAAAAGAAATATATTCATGCCAGGCATGGTGGTGCATGCCTGTAATCCCAGCAATTTGGGAGGCTGAGTCAGGAGGATCACAAGTTCAAAGTCACCCTGAGCAACTTAGTGAGGCCCTAAGCAACTTAGCAGACCCTGTCACAAAATAAAAAAATAAAAATCGCTTGGGATGTGGCTCAGTGGTTGAGCGTCCCTGGGTTCAATCCCCCATGGAAAAATAAATAAATAAAAGGAAAGAAAAGAAAAATTCAGAAATCATCTTCCCATTCCTCAATGACCCAGGCATGGCCCACCAGACTCCCTGCTAATTCTGCCATTCAATTCTCTGAGTATAATTTCATGTTGTAGTTTGTAGAATTAATAGAAAGAGTTTTCTTTCTTTCTCTATTTTTTCATCTTTAAAAGAGACTACAGGTCCAAAGAGAGCACATGTGGTCCATTGAAGGGAGTCAGGTTGTAATGTGGTAGCATCAGACAAATTATGTCTATTTTGCCAATTTAAAACCAGAAGGAAGATTTTCCTGTCTTGTGGGCTAGGAAGCAATGAGGAGGGTGATTATAGAACCCTGACTTGTCTGATTATAAAAATTTTGAATTATGTCTAAAAAAGGTTGAGGTGGATAGGTGGAGAGGTCAGAAAAGGTTATGAGGGTATGAGAAGATGAAGGAGATAAGTAAAAGGATAGACAGCAAGTGCATGAAAGTGAAAATGAGAAAGATGATTATAGTAAAAGGTCAACAATGATTATATAAGAAAGATTTGTGTGAGCAGTGGGTAAGGTTTTGTGAATAGTGTAGTGTCAGATTATGATAGGAGCTCTCTCGAAATGCAATTTAGGTTTTGTTATTCACTGGAGAGCAATATTAAGTAGTCCAACGTACATTGTTTTCTGAGATATATATAAGTTGTATTTTAGGAAGAAAATATGCTAAAATGTTTTGAATACTTTTCTTGTTCCAGGCAGTATGTGACAATGAGTTGGAGTTGCCAGATATATGACTCTGGAAAAGTAAATTGTTTTCCTGAGTTTCAGTTTCTTAACTCTAAAATTAATAAAATAGTACCTATCTCTCAAAGTTTTGATATGGACCATATGTAAACATTAATATGGAATCAATATTTTAAGTAGTATGGAGAAGGAAGAACCAGTGGAAGGGAACAGTTAAGAAGCTAAGAAGCGACTACAATTTTTTTCCTTTCTTTTTTCTCTTTTTTTTTTTGGAGCTGGGGATTGAACCAAGGGCCTTGTGCATTCGAGGCATGCACTGTACCAACTGAGTTCTGTCCCCAGAGCTACTGCAATTTTTGAGCCTGGCAAAAGGTGGAATACCACTAGAATGGACAGGAAGAAAAAATTGCGAAGAAAAAGTAAAAAAAAAATTAGGACAGGTGACTGATTACCTCTCTCCACTGTAATTCATCTTGCACATTTCTTTCTTCATTAGACATAATCTGGGAATTCAAAACTACATTTTTTACCATCCTCCTTGGATCTTAGCAATTGTTTGCTCATTTCCCTAGAGATACAAATAACCATCTCTCGTCACCATTTCAGCATCTCCATCAATATATGCTTCAAATTCTTTTTCATTAGTCAATTGAAAAGTAAAACAAAACACTTTCTTACACATTATTTTCTTTTTCTTTTTTTTTCATTTTGCAATTTACTCCTTTGTTTTGGGGTTTGCAAATCAAGCCTCCTGCAAATTCCCATAAGATCCCCTATTTTTTAGAAAACACAAAACTGAAAAAGGAAACCAATCCTGCTTTTCCGGGGCTTAAGAAAACTGAAACTTCTCTTTAACCCTCTGTGGACATCGTCCAAGTACTTCAGTGCCCAATACCTGCAACCAGCTAACAACAAAAACAAATCACTACATGATATAAGTTTTAAAATGAGCAAACCTTTGAGAGCATGGATTTTCTTACTAGTGTTTGGATTCAACAAAGCTTACTTTCTTAAGGAAGATCTACCTTCTGATTTGCGTACATTTCTGAGCAGGAAGTTACGCGTAAAACTTTTAGTCTTCACAGGAAAAGGTCCTTCATTTTCGTGGAATTCAATTCAAGTGATTCCTTTTTTTTTTTTCTCTCTCTCTTTCTTCTCCCCTCTTCGCGGAGAGGGAATAGTAAAAAACCAAAAAACAAACAAACAAACAAACAAAAAACCCAGCAACAATGGTTTCGACAGATCTCGCGGTGCTATTCGAGATTCCCTATTTTAAAAAAAAAAAATTAGAAATGAGGCGAACGGCGTGCCTTCCGGGGTTTGGGGCTGGGACTGCAGTGCTCTGAGCCCATTGAAAGCAGCTAAGGGTGGAGGCGGGGCTCTGTCGAATTCCCCTTCCACCTTCCCCCACCCTCCTCTTTCAACCTCTGTTTGGCCCCTAGCTGGATTTCAGCCTTTGCTGCAGCTGCTCCGCGGCTCATTCCAGGACCCAAACAACCGCCAGCCGCTGTTCCCAGGATGGTGATTCGTGTATACATTGCATCTTCTTCTGGCTCTACGGCGGTAAGGAGAGTGGGGAACCCACCTTTCTTGTTTTCTTACACACCAGACCTCTTCTGCCCCAGAACCGTTAAATTGCAGAAGTTCTTCAGGCAGCTTCTCCTTTGGAAGACACACGCATCCCCCATCTCACCCCCCCCTGCTTCCATTTCTTCCTTTGTTGCATCGACTTCATTTTTCCTTGGAGTTCAGCTTTGTTTGCGTTGGGGCTACATTTCTCCTCTTAAAAAAAAAAAAAAAAAAAAAAAAAAAAAAAAAAAAAAAAAAAACGAAAAAGAAACCGACCGAGTTTTGGAAATGGGAGATGGTGGTATAGGGTCTTTAGGATTAGGCAAAGAAGTCAAGTGAAATCACACTCATGAGTTTCAGGCATGAGATATTTAACAAATATGGTACTAAGACAAGGGTAGGACTGCAGCTCTGTAAAGGATGGGGGTACATATGCTGTTAATGATGGGGATTGAATGGAGGCCTATGGAGACATTGGGATTATTTTCAGAGTGAGACCCCTATAATAGAGTTATTTTGAGACTGTGTAGAAGATATTTAACTTCACTTTAAGGCCTGTTAGAATTAGACAAAATGGGGGAGGCAGTTGGGGACAATAATACAAAGTTATTTATTTTTTAACTTAAAAAATAAACGGAGCATGGAGTTGGGTCCCTTGTCTTATGAATTTGAACAATAAAATCCATGGAACACAAGGGTGAGAGCAAAGTAACAGGATTGATTAGAGTGATAGCAGAGTTCACAAAAAGGGAGGGGGGTCCCAAGAATGGAATACCTAAGAGTGGCTATTGTCTATGGGTTTATATAGATATATAGGTTTAAGAAAGTCTGCCCCCTACCCAATCCTGGGTGAGATATTCAGTGTCCATGAGGCATTCTTGCATCCTCTAGTCCAATCAAAACATCAGTCAGGCATTTTTTCTTCTTTAGAAAGCCTTTTGGTAAGTTTCTTAGCAATCATCTGCAGCTGCTCTTTGTGCTCTACTGCCCAGGAAGCCCATCTCCCTATCCTCGCATACTTCTCTTCCTCCCCACCTCAATGTGACATGGAACATGATGTCCAATATTGTTTCTTGTTTTGACTTTTTTTCTTTCAAAAGATTATACATCTAATATTTCCTAAAGTGCTTTAAATATATTCAGAACTGGAAATGGAACTAACAAGTGGCTTCTTCTGAAGTGGCAAGCTGAGTTGCTGCCTTTCAGATGATAGGATATTTCCCCAAAATCCATTTGCTAATTACTTAAAATAACAACTTTCAGCAGCTCTGGGAAGAACAGTCTAAAATAAGAGGAAAGCTGAATATTTATGCACATTAAATGAATGTCTCTCTTTTTTGTAACTCAAGAGAAAAGCCAAAAGTGGGAGTAGCAGATATAGGGATTCTGGATGTAGGAGGCAGGTAACTTCTCCCTCTCCTTGAGCTTTAGAGCAACTGTTTGATTCTGAGTTGTGATTATTTGGTTTTTGTTCTGTATATATTAATATCTAAAGGAGGCTGAATAGAACTGAAGGATATGTAAAATCCAAGAACCTTGAACTTTGTCATCTCCAGCTACTATGTGTGGGTGTGTTTAGATAGTTTTGAAATATCAGAAAACTTAATCATATATTTTGAGCAAGGTTCAGGTGAATAAAAAGAAAATTTTGTATTTCCTTTGTACCCATTTTAGAAGCCTCTTGCTTTACTGGTATTGTAAAGTAAAATTTGAATTGCTCAGAGTCTCAATCTAATAGAATAATTAGACCAGCTTAATGCCTTTAGTTAATCCCTAAATAGATTGAGCAGATCAGGCAGTTAGTCTGGGGTCATACAGCTTCAACAATGCTATTTCTTCTTTGTTTTCTCTCTCTTCTACCCCTCCCTCAGAAGTAGATTGAGGAAGAAAGTGTTTTCGGAATTTCATTTCAAATAAGAACAACTGTCTCTTTCTTAAGTTTTAAATGTCTGAGAGCCTTAGAAGTGACTGACACTTAAATTTCCTTTATTGGGCTCCTTTCTAGAAGAGTATGCAAAAGATAGTTTTTCTTGTTTGTGTTTAGTTCTTTATTTTTCGCATGGATAATTAAATATTTATTCATTTTGCTCTAATTACAGTTAATGTGAACTTGCTATCAAAATTATATTGCATATTGCCAAAATAATCATTGCTTTGTTATAATCTTACAGAACTATTAAATTATACTAAAATGTACATAAACATAAATGGAATGTTGATTATTTACTTCAGAAAGAGATTCCTCATTTTGCAATACTGAAGTTTTCTTTAAGATCGAGACATTGCTGTTTTTAACAAATGACTTGGAAAATTTGAGGCAAATATCCTGGTGGAACCAAATAATTGCATAAAATGAAATACTCCTATAAGTGACTGAGTGTAGTTGTCTGAAGAATATTTAATAGTCTTTTAGCTATGGATTGTTAATATCTGATTGTTCTCTAACTCTTCCTGCTGGATGTCATAAAATAACCAATATTATATCTTTAATTGAGCACAGGTAGATATGGATCTGTGGTAATTAATAAGATAATATTAACTTAATTTGAGTTGTAGCCCAAGACTTCCTGTATCTCATAGCCCAATGTGAAAGATAGAACAATTTTTCAAACATATGCCTGATTCTGCCCCAGTAGAGAGGAATAGTACTTATCAGAAGTTTAGAAATGAATGTAAGTACATTGGTCTTTGCAATTAATTCTTGATAGATAATAACAATATGCAGTTGGAACACTTGTGTGTTGGGCACATATTGTATTTTATTGACAGTAGTCTTATGATTATCTCTATTTTTCCAAGAAGGAAATGCAGCTTCACAGAGGTTAAACAACTTTCTCAACGTCATACAGCTTATAAGTCACAAAGATTGATTAAAATGCAAGCTGTTTGAATCCAAAGAGCATGTGCTTACACATCATAAATATGTGGCAGGTAGTAGGCATGAGGAGATAAATGTGAGCATGAGATAAGAGGTAGGGAGAAGGGTGGTGAAGGCCTATTCATACAGGGAAATGGTAAAATGGGAGCTAGTATACAGGAGGGATAGTGTGTCTAAAGGTGAATGCAAGTAAGTGAGGGTGAGGGTGGGGGTAAACAGCTGTTCACTCAAAGCCAAGAAGATAGAAAAGACATGAATTCTTTGGAAAACCTAAACTGGTATTTTATAATTTTAGATGTGAAAATTCAAGCCTTAATGGTGTTTCTCTTGATGGAAACCATTTAGCAGGAGTGTAGTTCTCAAGTTGTCTGTCCATGTGAAGTGATTTCTGCCTGTTCCAAATTGTTCATGTTTATATTTGACTGTACACAGTAGTAGTATATGTCCCAATTTGTATTTTGCTATTTTTTAAAAATAACATATATTTTTCAATATCTTTATTCATTTATTTTTATGTGGTACCGAGGATCAACTCCAGTGCCTCACATGTGCAAGGCAAGAGCTCTACCACTGAGCCACAGCCACGGCCCCTGTAATTTTGAGATTTTAATGCCTTGTAAATTTATACTTTAAGGGGAAAGGAATAGAAAGCCCAATGCCTATGTAACTTAATAAACTGTGGTAACTTTTAGCAAAAACCAACATTGACCTTTGGTTAGGATTACTGGAGTGATGATCTATTGAAGAATTTTATTGGCCTTGGAGTTTTTTTCTCCCATCCTTCTTTCACCTAGATGCATAATGATCTCTAACTTATGTCTATGCTTTCTATGTGTGACTTGGTATGGAAATTTTAAGATTGTGGTACATAGATCATTTCAGAGGATTGTATTTATGGAGTAGATGATCTATTTTGTAACTGATAAAACAAAATCTAGCTGTAGCTTGATAGTCCATATGTTACATTAAATAAATAATTTTCTTCTATGATGCACAAAGTATTAAAAAAAAGTGAATAAAAATGAACACACTTAATCATAGAATTGTGAGTCACTAGTCATCATTTTCTTCATTTGAGTAATATGGTTATAGAACAGGAAGTCATAGTTTTTCATTATGTGATTCTCAAGAAGTTGTGTCTTAGGGGACATAATGTTTTGTTGTTCTGTCTCTGTCTTTATAAATTGAACAGTGATTTATTTGCGTGTGCTTTGGTTTTTGTCATAGCTGCAAAGCTTTGTTTGAATGCTATGTAAAGGTATTCATAAATTACTAAGAAGACCAAAATAAGAAATGTTTTACCAAATGAATAGACAATAGTTTTTGCATGCCTCAGATAGTGGAGAATGATAGCCTGCCTGTGACAAATCAGACTGAAGATTAGTACCTTCAGTTTGGTGCCCATTGTTGATGGTTGAATTCCTATATTTCATATTAACAATGGCAGAACCACTTGAATAATGTAACCCAATTTAAAGACGCTTGGGAAACACTGGTATCAATGATAGTTATTATTGGGCATTGAAAAAAATGTTTAAAAGTCAAATGGCTCTAGGGAAAAATGTATTGTAGTAGTATAGTAAAATATTCCTAATCTGCAGGAGAAAAAGGTAAAGTAGATTAATCTCTAGCAAAATATTAGTTACTTTGTTGACAAAGGGCTGTGATCAATAAACCTTAGGGTGAACCCTCCCCCTAGATTGGCTTGGGGAAAAATAAAGCTCTGACACAATGAGATTGAAAGTTCTAATGCTTTGTGGCTAATCTCTAACATCTTTTCTAAAAAAAAAATGTATTACACAATCAGCTGTGTATC